GTAATAACCCATGGTTTCTGAATTCTGAGGTGTCTGCCACTGTGACCCCCAGATTGGTAATAACCCATTGTTTCTGAGTTCTGAGGTGTCTGCCGTTTTCTGTTTTAGGGAGAGAAGGTGCAAACCGTTGGTCAGATAGAGTTATGCTTCACCAAGGAGGACTTCCGTTTGCGGAACTGTACTGAGCCAGGTGAGCAGCTCCCCTCCAACCAGGATGCCTGGCCGGCCATGGGCGCTTCCTCCACACACGGGATGATGGTCTGTGAAGATGGTCCAATCTTCTATCCTCCGCCTGCAAAGCCCCAACACTGATGTTCACGTTTAGGAAATATTGTATGTTCCACAAAGGAAGAACAAGTCACCAATTATTGCTTTCTAAAAATCCACCCAAAAGTTTCTTAAAATGCGTTTGGCTTTTTTCTTGCGTGTTAATGAGTTGATTTTGGTGCAGTCTAATTAGTAGGTGCTCCTGTGCTCTTCCTGCCAGCTGCCAGCAGCTGGTGTCAGGCCTAATTTCCTGTCCTGAAGTAGCTAGATTCACACGGGTAATTCACAAGAACTTGGAAGTCTTGGTACAACAATTTTTTATTTTGGTCAAGCTTAAATTATTCTGTTTCTTTTTTTTTTAAATTTAAAAAGGTTTATTATTTTGTGTGTGTGTATGATTTATGACGTGTGTATGGGGTGTGAACATACCATGGAACCCATATAGAGGTCAGATATATGTTGCTTGATCCTAACGGCTCCCTCAGGGGTGGGGCTGAGAAAGCATGGTGTCAACGGCACAGACACCGGGAGTCAGTTGAAGGCAGACAACAAACTGGTTTATTTAATAATGGGGAAGGATTTATATTCCCTCCTCCCAGCACCCAGTCTGTGTCCCAGTCTGGTGGCATTGTGTGGTCGTCCTTCATTGGCTGGGCACGTTCAGGAACTCTGACAGCGCCTGTTGCTAGGTCCTCAGGCAGACTCCAGGTGGCTCATAAGGAAGTTTATTATGCACATGCCTTGGCAACTGGTCTGAACCAATTTCCTCGACCCTATGGGCCTGTCCTATTACAAGAAGACAATTTTGGGGAATCATTTTCTCCAGCATAGGTTTGGGGGATCAAACCCAGGTCATCATGTTGCAGTGAAATAACACTCCCCAGTGAGAAATCACTCTACACTCTCAGGGAATAAGGACAAAGGACATTCTTTATAAGGACACTCTTTAATAAAGTGTGTGTCTGGTCTGGGAGCCTGGCTAGTGCCAAGAGACTGACCATGGGCAGAAATACTTGACAGTTTATATAGATGTTGGGCTGTAACATGGCGCATACATTGCCATCTGTAAACCTCCCTTAAGTCCCTGCGTGAGTTAACTTTGAGCAATTAAACATGTTTTATAGAGACAGACACTGCAAGTTTTGCCATTTTGGTGGGACAGTAGATTTACAGAGCAAGGATACTGTCATTTTACAGTGCAAGGATACAGTTATTTTTGAAATAGATTAATGTTGCTCTTTGCAAGTAATTGCTACCCAGGGTCATCTGCCTGTCTGGCAGAATTATGTTCTTCGTAAGAGGGCCAGGATTTTATAGGCAGCTGTTTTCCAGTGCCACACCCCTTTGACCTGAATGGTAGAGATGTTCTTTTGATAGCAAATAGGGCCTGATGACCTACTGTGTGCCAAGGTTGTCCTTTTTGTTTTGGGAATAGGGACTAATGGGAGGTGGCCGTCTAAGTGAACAGATCCTAGCAGAAACATAGTCTCAGTGAACCTAAACTTCAGTTGTGTCAGAGACGCAGTTTTCCTAAAGTTTCTGACAAGTGTGGCCGGTACGGCACTTATATTTGAGTTAGGTCAGAGGCAGACTCCTTTTTGTAACATGATGTTTCCAAAGCAAGTGTAGTGCTCAGTCCTTTCGACATCAGCCGTTACTCCAGTCCTGATCAGTGCAGCAAGCACTTTTCCACGGAGCCGCTGCACTGGCCCCATCCATCCTGCTTGTGTAACAGACAGTGGTGCAGGTAGAGTGGTAAAACATTTTACATTTGCTTATCCTCAGAACAACTCTTTTCAAAAACGGCATCATTAAAAACGTCTGTGTCGATCCATGTGACTGTCTCTACCAATTAAAGGCTTTCAGATTGGCTCAGAAGACTTGGTGTCTCTAGGAGACACTCCTGAAGTGCAGTGCGTTTAGCAGGATTCACCTGGTGCATGGGTTGGTAAACAGCCGTCACTGTGGGGGGGTTGCAGGACCCAGTCTCCCCCGCACAGGATGTGAATTTATACGGTTGCTCTGTGACCAGGCGTTAGCGAGGATTTGATCAGAAGCGGTCCTTCAGCTTCTCTGTGTTAGAGGAAGGGGCTGGCCTTGCTTATCTGCTGGGATAGGGATATGGCCTTGGGGCCTTGGCCTATGCTGTGCCCCACATTACCGCAGTCCCCTCTTCCTGACCTGTGCCTTTGCCCCTCCCAAGGGCATATCTGTTTCTAGTGCCCCTCACTGGTGCTTCAGAGGGTGTATTGCTCTCTGTGGGGAGGGCCCAGTCGGAAACATGGGTAAGTAAGGGGCTTGTCTCTTGTCTGGACTGACTGGCTCCTTTGGTGTCCTTTTGTGGGGGAATTGTGTGCCTTGGTCTTGTGTAGAAAAAGGTTTCTGCAGGAGGTTGTATTGTCTCTCCTCTTTACAACTGTTTTCGTGTTCTTGGAGGAGCCAGAGAGGCAGGGCTTGTAGTTTCCCCCACACTCTACCTTAGTCTGCTTCTGTTTGAAACAAGTCATCCTTCTTCAAAAGGGGCATATTTGTAATTCTAGTTGGCATATTTCTTAAGAGCAGCCTGAATTCAAATAGGCTGGCGTGATGGGAAGGTGTGGGCTGTGAAATGAAATGGGTCATGTGAAGTGCATGTGCTGCAGTCCTGTGGTCCTCCTGCAGGCTGAACACAATGCAGTCCTGCTGATAGCACAGCAGGTCTCAGCGCTGTCCTAGACCAGTGCTCCCATTTCCTGTTCCTGTTTGTGTTCTGGCCTCCTGCACAGCACCAGGTAGTAAGTTTTCCATAGCCTTGGCCAAGTCAGGTAAGTGTGGGATTTGATGAGCCAGGGGAGATGTGGAGAGACCAGTTCCAAATGCTGGTTTCCGAAGTCAGGAAACATGAGCTCACTAAAGCACCTCTGACCTCCTTGTTCTCCCTGTGAACTTGACAGGGATGTTTAGGACAGGCCCGCAGGTGGGTGGGAACCTACATTAGGGTGGATTGCACATACACTGTGAGCCTGGGACCAGTCCATCCTATGGGGTGTGGAAGGAAGGCAGCTGTTCAGGGAAGGACGGTCCTTTTGCCTGGAGCATCGGGGAAAGGAAGACCCTGAAGCTGGACCTGGAGGATGGCCAGAGTTAAAGGTAAGAAAGTAGACGCTGAAGGGAACAGACGCATGGAGATTGTCCCCCAAACTAGCTCCCACCCACAATTACACTGCCATCACCTCTTGCCTTGGTGTGTGTGTATCCTACCCAGGATACTTTGCCCAGCCCTGGAGCAGCGCCTCCCATTCAGGTAACTGCATGATGTGGGCTGAGTGATCGGAACTCGCCTTACGTCCTTCTCAGAGCTGGCATTTGATGGCTCTCCCCACCTATCAGCTGAACATCACACCCGCTCTGTTTGAAAGGGCAAAGCATCATACATGTTTGTGTCCCATTCACCAACTTAGTTCAGAGCCTCACAGTTTGTTACCTGGGCTGTTCTACAAGCTTAACCGTGTTCACACTGCAAATGCCGCTCTGGACACCTGTCCCCCAGAGGATGGGTTTTCAGCCTACAGTTCACTGCTTTCCACTGGCCCCACTGGTGCCCACCAAGGGTTATACCGGAATGCACCTTCCTGCCATGGATGGCCTGGGACACACTTGCTCCAATAACCGGGAAAATTCTCGCTGTGGCTTTAATGCCCTGACCGACTGAGACTTGAGATGAGGTCCAGCAGATCGTTTTCCCCTTGGAGTCCATGAATGAGTATTCATTTAAGATTTCTTTCAACCTCTGCATTTGCTCTGAAGTTATGTAAATATCATGTTCCTCATCATAGTCTGTATTCATTTCCTAGGAAGTCAGTGGACTCAGGTGTCCTATTTCATTCTGAGTTAAGATCCATTATTTTCATGGTTGTTCCAGTGGGAGTCCCCAGCTGGTGTCTGTGTCTGCTTCTCATGTGTTCCCAGATCCTGTCTTTCCAGGGAGACAGGCACTGTTCTTCACACACATTTATGTCTGAATTGACCTGCATATGCAGCAAACCACAAGTTCATGCCAGTTCCAATTCTGATCTATTAGCAAGAGGATTATTATGATCATTTCCCTTTCCGTCTCAGCCCCCGTTTCTCTATTAGTAAACCTGGCTCTTAGTCCCTTTGGTGTCTTTGCTTATTTGATGGATCCACTGCTTAGAGATAAGCTCCTGCTTGCCGCCTCTGCCTCACCATGTAGATGAGGATGCTCTGACTCCACACTGATTGCCTCTGCC